TTGTAGAGCGGAGAACAACCATAATTAATAAAGAAAAATTTAAGAACATATATATACACAATATTGATTATATCCATAGTTATAATTTCAGACATAACAGTGTTATCTAGATAATATAAATCCTTGCCAATGTCCCTCTCTGTTTCTCTCTCCATGTGCATTTCTCAGTCAGTTTTAATATTTCAGCACCCCTCCCTCCCTTATTAATATTAGCTCTCTTCCACCTTTTGTTTCCAATCCATTTTATTGTTTCAGTTATCTGTTTTTTTTCCTGCCTACCACATTTACATGGTGCACTGGTATCCTTCATGTTGTCACACCTGCTTGCACTACTTGCACATTCCTTGTTTCTGAGGGAAAGAGCTTCCTAAGACTCACTGCTGCCCCACAGTGGCTGGCTGAATTAAAATACAATCAGAGAGCAAACAAGCCACCATTATCCAGCCCACCTTCAACTGCACTATTCCCAAGGCAGGATTTTTTACCCCTTTATCACTGGGTGGATCTCACCCATATCATCCCACACCCACACGATTATCTGTGGGTATGTACACCATCCCCAACACACACTTCTTATGCCAAAGGCATATGTGTCAGATGATTTTATTTGGTAAGTGTCAGCTTATACTAAGGCACTGTTGGCAATATGTTACATCTGTAAGCACTTCACATGCTTCTAGATATAACATATCACCAATAGTGCCAACTTCCATCTATTGTGTGCTTCTTGGATGAAGCAGCTTAAATCAAATATTCACTTATAATTTTATGGCAAGACAGGAGGCGTCATATTTGCTTATCTTTCTTTACTGAAACTCCCAGCAACAAAGAAATAGTTAACAAAGTTGTAAAAAATACAACCAATCATAACACATCATAGAGCAATATAGTGCCACCAGACTCTTCCCACTTCCTCTTTCTTTGCTGCTTGCCTCCCAGGTGAGTCTATTCTAATTACGTTGCCTAGCCTCATTACTTAAATTTAAAATTTTCTTAAATTATTTGACGATTTTATCTGTTTTTCCTATCCTGAGATAGCTCAATAATAGTTTAAGCTTTCCTCAGGGTAATTTCCTTTTAACACCTTTTGTTTTATTTAACATGTTCTTTTTACAGGTGTTTTATTATCCCTTTTCAAGTGGATAACGTCTTTCTTTATTATATTCCTTTTAAGTGGCTTACACCTTTAATTAAAAAGTGTAAGCAGTTTCGGCCGCACACAGAAACAGCCCGCTGGGCTTTTCCTCCCCTCCCGTCAGGAAAATACCTAGTGTGAGGGACTCCATTTCCCAGGAGACCGTTGGTCTCCTGGTACAACCTTCGCGCCCTTTCTCTTCACTTGTTTCCTGCCTATACGACCGCTCCGCCCCTTCTTCTTGCGGCGGCCATCTTCAAATCGCGGCACTTGCATTTTTCCGCGGCAGTTCCCTCATCTGTGGGCACTATTGCTTTCTTACCCGGAAGGTAAGTTACTTACTTATTTAACCATATATTACCCATATATCAAGATTTTGCAATTGAAGATCAGGACACTGATCATTCTCTCTCCTTATCATTGCAGGTTTATCTTGCTCACTAACAAGTCCTGCCTGCTAAACTATTGGGTGACCCCCTTTATGTTAAATTGATACTTCACTGTACAATTTACTTTATTAAAATTGTGTGGCTGACACCACCTTCTGTTTCATTTGTGGGTGACCCCCACCACAACTACTGCCAATAATATTTTGTGTGGTTGACACCACCCTGCTTATTTTGTGGGTGATCCCCACTTTCTTTTCCTACTTAACTCCACCATAACTACTGCCTATATTAAAAAAAAAAAAAAAAGTGTGGCAGATACCACTTTGTTTATTTGTGGGTGACCCCCACTTTAGTTTGACAGGGTCCTCTATAGTGGGCAACCCTACCTCGTTGGGCTTACTTATCTGAATATATATAAACGTTCTGTTGCTGTTCACCATTTGTTAAAGGGTGACCCCCTTTCTTGATTGTGCCTAATAATTGTGGGTGACCCCCACTGATTCTCAGTTCGTGTGGGTGACCCCCACCTCTCCATTATACTAGTTGAGTTGCCTCATCTTTTTGTCATTTATCAACACTGCCTTATAATTTTACTACACTTACCTGTAGTTATTAATCTGCCCATTGTCATTCCCATAAAATAAACATTAAAAATGTCGGAACACCAAGACCCTGCTATTTCTGCAGAACTTCGGGATTGGCTATTTGCCACCATTGCGGAGTGCATTCCCAAAGCTCTGGCAGCTTATCATGAGCAATCTACTACAGAGGTTCATCCCTCTACACACCAACCCTCTGACTCAGAGGATTTCCACCTTTCAGACCAAGAAAGTGCCCCGCGCAAAAGACCCTGGAAAGGGAATAGCGCTACTGCGGGCAAAGGCAAAGCTCCTGCGAACGGGGCCTGGGACGGATCCCGACTAGATGCACAGTCTATCAGCTCCCGCCTGTAACCAAACTCTACCGACAAAAGCCCGCACTTAACGCACAAAACTACACCACCAACGCCACTGAACGACTTGGGGCACCGAGAGGAGCAGACAGATGCCCTTCTTCCAACCCCCGAAGACCGGGAAGACTAAACGAAAAACCCGGGCCTACTACCAGTCAACTCTCCACACTCTGGAGACGTTCCTCGATGGCTACTGTGGACACACAGAGCAGAGAGCGGTAGGGGAGAACACCACGGCAACAGTGGATACCACAGCGACAATGACCCGTCGCTCCCAGAAGGGTAGGCAGAGCTTACCGATTGAACAACCCGACATCGGGGAACTATTGCAGCGGAAAACCCCACACATGATGGCGGCGGGGGAGGCCTCCTCTGCACTAACGTGGCCTACTCCAATGGCGCAACCACAAGAAGCCTCCGCAACCGAGGCACTGCCTGTACCACCAGCCCGACCACAAGCAGCGCCAACGGAAGGGCTCAGAAGGGCCACACTTCCAACCCTGCCAGAAAACCCCACAGAAACAGGGGACCACACTCTAGCCACGAAACAGGACCTCCAACGCTGGATGCAGGAACTCCAGGACCTAATAGCCACAGATATAGGCACCATAAAGGCAGAGGTCCGGCAAAACACAACCAGGGTAGCCACGGTTGAAGAAAACGTAGCGCAGGTAACAAACAAAATGTCCCATCTCAAACAATCCCTGCAAGATATGCGAGCAACCCAACAGGCACTTACGGTGCAGCTATCTGCCCAAGGAGACCTCCTGCGGCGCAACCACATTAAGCTACGGGGGGTGCCCGCTGCGATTTCCCAGGCAGAAATACCTCACTTCATCAGACGGCTCTTGAGCACAATTTTACCACCTCAAACAGCCAGAAAAATCACACTGGAAAGCACATACCGCCTGCCAGCAGGGCCCAACTCACCATCTACAGGGGCACGAGACGTCATTCTGTGCTGTACCACGACACAAGATAAAATCAACATTCTGACGGCAGTAAAAGGCAAGACACCCTTGCAGTTCGAAAACGCCCAGCTGTTGTTCTTCCAAGACCTGACACGGGCAACATTGCAATGGAGGAAATCGATGTACAACCTAACCAGCCGCCTGAGAGCAGCGGGAATGCAGTACCGATGGGGAGCACCTAGGATCATAACGGTCACACACAACGGCAACACTTACAAAGTCATGTCGGAAGCCGAAATCCCTGCACTTCTAGGGACTTTAGGACTCACGGAACTATGGGCATGAATAACCCTCTACAAATGGGGGACCCCGCCACGGTGAACTCGTTCATACCTCGACCCTCGGGAAGTATACACACCCCTCCCTGATGGAAAACTGTACTCCTCAAACGGTCAGACAGGACACAGCCCTATCCAACAGGGCAATAGTTAACCATGGATATAATAGTTGGCTTGTTTCCAAGTTGTTCAGTATTAATATATAATTTTTTTTTTTTTTCTCTTTTCACTGTACCTCTCAAATGGTCAAATGTGACACAGCCCTATCCCACAGGGTAATAGTTCACCATGGATATAATATTGGCTTGTTTCCAAGTGGTCCAGTATTATTATCTAAAATTATTATTTTTATTTTATTTATTTTTTTATTTTTTTTTAATTTTTTTTGTACTCTCACTTATTTATGTTGGTATGTGCTCTCAAAGTCAAGTCGGGCTCCTCAGCCAACACATAAGCTCAGAGGAAACACGAACACACACATCCTCTGCTCCGCCTACGCCAGAACTGGGGCTGGACGGAATGGAGGCGACAGGGAACCACACAGTAGTATACAACACACTACCCCCCCCCCCCGCTACCCCCTTGGTTAGGGGCAACCACAAACTTGTAACAGCACATTATAACACACCTCACACTGTGACCCAATGCTACTCAGCACACACAATGGCTACAACTAACCTGCCTGTAATAACAATAAAAAACAAAACAAAACACCTTAGCTTGACTAGGAACATGTCTGGATACCTAGAAAGACCAAACACAGGATTAGACTCACAGCATGGGTGCGCATGTTAATGTTAACGTTAGAGACCACAAATGTACAGTAACCTGATAAAAAAGGAAAATTGTGTGCAGACTTATGTGATATGTAAAACTGTCTCTTCACTCCTGTACTCCTGTATTTGATACCACTTATGTCACAGAAATGCAAGAAATGTAAACATGCACCGTAAAATAAAGAATTTATAAAAAAAAAAAAAAAGCTCCTGCGAAAATCCTCAAACATTCCCAACCATTTACTATGCAGAACCCGACAGACCCTCTAGAGGGCTCTACTTCCCGACTAGCTGGTCATATTTTAAACGACTATGACACCACCTACTCTGATGAGGATCCTACGGTGAATATGCCCCAGGATTCCTCAACATCAGAGTTTATTAAGGAAACTTTTCATGTTCAGGATGCTAAGGGTGCCCCTCCATCTAAAGAGCCTGCCTCAGACACCCTCCTGGATGCTTCAGGCCTCCCCTTTTTTGATCCAAGGGTGATTCGTCACCCACGGTCTGCAGAATGGACCCCTCCTGATCACATTGCCAGTTACTGCAAAATGTGGCTTCGCAAGCCCCTCGAAAAAGAACTCAGAAATAAATTGAGGGCTGAATGCCCAAGACCTACTATTCCGGGCAAAGTTGCCTCTACCCCTGAGTTCGACCTCATGCTTGTCACTTTTTTGACTAAATCTGGCAAAGACCCTCGTAAGGGTATAGAGCAAGGGTTGAAAGCAGCCCAAGACAAGCTTTTGGACATTTCAGGTCCTATAATCCAGATTTTTATCCTGGCAGATGAGGCACTCACTAGTGGTGAATTCGATCCACACACTATCAGAGAATGGGCTCAGAGAGCTCTTTGCCTATTAGGCAATGCAAACGTGGCAATTTCAATAGAAAGACGAAAAGCGGCACTTTATAAAATTGATGCTAAATTAGTAGACTTAAGCTCTAAGGAATTGGGACCAGAAGCAGATGGTCTTCTATTTGGTGACAGCTTTATGCAAGACCTCTCTAAGCATGTCTCTGTATTTACAATGCTTAATAAAGCCCAGTCCTCACTACGCAGGGTCTTCCGTTCCCAAACTCATCGTTTTTCCGGGAGAGCTGGTCGCTTCAGGGGCCGAGCTACCAGTAGAGCAGCCTTTGCAGGCTACAGGCCCCGACCCACAGATCATTAGTCCTCTGGACCCACAAGACCCTACCACAGACAGCTCTTCAGCTCCAGAGTCTCTATTCGAGGACGTGGCTCTGCATCCCTGCGTGGACGCACTGCTTCAGGTAATGGACCGTACTTATTTAAAAAATGTGTCAATTGCAGGTCGATTAACCCTTTTTTTCCAACAGTGGAAACTACTTTCTCAGGATCACTGGATCCTCCATACAGTCAGGGGTTTCAAAATAGATTTTCTCACACACCCCACTCAGAGCCACCCTCCAACACCCTTAGGGATGTCACAAACAGACAAACTAACCTTAGACTCAGAGTTGCACAAACTATTAGACAAAGAGGCGATCGAACCCTCGCCTTTCCCTTACACTTTCCTCAGCAACATGTTCCTGGTACGGAAAAAGACGGGAGACCACCGTCCTATTATCAACCTCAAAGAACTGAATCAGTTTATCACATATCGCCATTTCAAGATGAAAGGTATTCATCTTCTCAGGGACCTACTCTGCGTGGGAGACTGGTTCTCCAGATTCGACCTCAAGGATGCTTACCTCACGGTCCCAATCGCACCAAGCCATCGTGCGTTCCTTCAATTCCTCTGGCATGGCGAAATTTGGCAGTTCACCTGCCTTCCTTTCGGACTTTGCTCCGCCCCTTGGTGTTTCACCAAGTTAATGAAGCCGGTCATGGCACTACTCCGCTCTCGGGGAATACGTTCGATCATATATCTGGACGATATTCTGATCATGGCCCAAGACCAACATTTGCTTCGCAAACATACGCACATGACCTCTGCTCTCCTTCAAAACCTTCTGGAACCATCTCAGGTAGTCCAGTTTCTGGGCTTTCAAATAGACTCAGTCCAGGCAACTTTGCAGCTGCCTTACCCCAAAATAAAAAACATAAAGAAAGAAATCCCAAAATTGCTTTCTTCGCAGCAGCCTCGGCTCCACGACCTTGCACACATTCTTGGACTCCTGTCCGCATCTATCCAAGCTATATTTCCCGGGCCTTTACACTACAGAGCAATGCAACTGTTGAAAACAACCTACTTCCATCGCTCAACCTCTTACGATCAATTCATTTCTCTGATGGACGAAGTTATCATCGAACTTCATTGGTGGCTTCGCAACATGGAAGCCTGGAATGGGAAAGCAATTTTCGGGTCTCAACCAGATTTTATTCTGGAATCCGATGCGAGCCTCTTGGGTTGGGGTGCTACGTGTGCCCAAACCTCCACAGGGGGTCTGTGGTCCCCATCGGAACAGGCTCTCCACATAAATTGCCTCAAGCTCATTGCTGGATCCTTCGCGATCTGCAGCTTTGCCAAGGACGCCTCCAATTGCTCCCTGGTACTACGGATGGACAATGTCTCCGTGGTGCGGTATGTAAACCGACTCGGAGGATCCAAATCCAAACTTCTGTCCGACCTCACCAAGGACCTGTACCAGTTCTGTCTGGACCGGAATCTGTCCATCCGAGCGGAATATCTCCCTGGGTCCGACAACCTAGTCGCGGACTGGTTTTCGCGTCATTGGAGGGATGCCAGCGACTGGCAATTAGACCCTCTCCTGTTCCATCACATCCATTTCCTACGGGGACCTCTCACACTCGACCTCTTTGCATCTCGCCTGAATCGTCAGACAGACGATTTCTTCAGCTGGCTACCAGACCCTCTATCTCTGGCAGTCGATGCTTTTCTGCAACCTTGGCCACGGGAGGGAGCCTATGTTTTCCCTCCCTTCTCGATGATTCAACGGACCCTTCACCGGGTCAAAGAGCAAAAAGTCAGGGTAGTAATAATCACCCCTCTATGGAGGGCCCAGACCTGGTTCCCCACCCTCCTGGAACTATCAGTAGACTACCCCATCCTTCTACCTCGTTCATTTCGAGTCCTCAGGAACCCAATGGGCGATTACCATCCTCTCGCCCTACAGGGCCACCTTCAACTGGTAGCTTGGACAGTTTCAGGGGAGCTTGGCATGTCGCGGGTCTTTCACACACAGCTCAAACACTCCTCTGGGACTCGTGGGCTCCAGGAACCAGACAAACCTACCTCTCCGCATGGCGGAGTTGGGTTAGCTGGTGTCTGGAGAGGGACCTCGATCCCGTTTCAACACCTCTTTCACCCATTTTAAATTTCTTATCATCTCTCTTCGATCAGGGTAAATCTTACCGATCGATTAATATTTTTCGTTCCGCCATTTCAGCAGCCCATGACACTATTGATAATTTCTTGGTTGGGAAACACCCTTCCGTGTGCAGACTTTTACGGGGCATTTGTTTGACGAGGCCACCTTCTGCCAAATACTCTACGTTCTGGGATATCTCTCAGGTTTTCACACTGTTGGATTCCTGGCCACCTAATGAGGCCTTATCCTTAGCCAACTCTCTGCGAAATTGGCCTTGCTACTGTGTCTGGTGTCCTTCCGCAGGGTTTCAGACGTTCAAGCCTTTGACTCTCACGCTGTGACCTTCGCACCAGACGGTGTCAGATTTACCATTACTAGACGCACTAAGACGAATTCTTCGTCAGTCTTTTATCCATACTTTCCCGATAGGCCATCACTCTGTGTGGCCCTGTGCACCCGTTGTTACATTGACAACACAATCTCTCTGCGTCCCTCTACCGGACCTCTGTTTGTCTCTTACGGTAAGCCTCACAAACCGGTCTCCTCCCCCACCATTGCACGATGGATGAGATGGTTGCTTACCCAAGCAGGAATTGATAGCTCTTTCGGAGCTCACTCCGTTAGGGGAGCGGCCGCATCCTCCGCGTTTCGCGCAGGCAGCTCACTGGCGGATATTTTAGCCTCCGCAGATTGGTCAAGAGAATCTGCCTTTCGCACCTTTTATTTTAAACCAACACCACATGCGGCTTATTCCTTTATTCAAGAGCATTAAAACAGCAAATATGAAGCCTCCTGTCTTGCCATAAACTTAGGGATTATTCTATTTTACAGTGAACAAATAATCTAAATTTTATTAAAGACAGGAGGCAAATATTTTCCCTCCCTTTGTTCACTCTGGAACCCACCCTACAGGTAAGTCTCTCATTCTGAGCTTATTGCATTGTACACTCCCTTGCAATTTGATTTGTAAGCATACACTTGCTAATCAGGTAGGGCAAACTTGTACATTCCTTGCAGTTTGATTGGTAGGCATACAATTCACTGATCTGGTAGCATAGCATACCTACTCCATATTGTACCATTACGTGCTTAAATCCGTCAGGATAATCTGGACTATCATTTTAGAATGCGTATTTATACATTTTCTCGTCTTCAAGAGACCATACTTTCACGAAGTCTCTTTTCTTCTCTTCTAGTATGAAAACTTCGGATTACCCTCTTCATCTACACGTTTACATGGTTGACTTGCTACGGACTAAAACCGCAGAATGTTTCCAGTTTACAAGTTGATTCTACTAACCTGATCGGCACCACCTAAGAAAGAGGAAGTGGGAGGAGTCTGGTGGCACTATATTGCTCTAAGATGTGTTATGATTGGTTGAATTTTTTACAACTTTGTTAACTATTTCTTTGCTGCTGGGAGTTTCAGTAAAGAAAGATAAGCAAATATGAAGCCTCCTGTCTTGCCATAAAATTAGGCGGCAGTTCCCTCATCTGTGGGCACTATTGCTTTCTTACCCGGAAGGTAAGTTACTTACTTATTTAACCATATATTACCCATATTTCAAGATTTTGCAATTGAAGATCAGGACACACACACTTAATTTTTCACGGAACAGTGATTTGTATCCTGTTCACCCACTAAAGCAAGTCACATTACAGTCTACATTACTGTTTGTGTTTATTCAATAAACCACGAATACAAATAGCAAGATATGTGAACACAACCCCAGTGAAAAGAGTGTATAATTTAAAGCAGACCGAAACTTCCCTATATTGGGTGAAGTATCCAGATGGGTCCCCAAAGGCTTCCTCCTGTCGTCAACAAATATATACAAATAGAATAGGGGATAATCTGCTAAATACAGATAAAATAAAAAAACATAGCGTTTAACTGTGTGGGAGTTAGTGACAATGTGCAATTACAATTGGTCACTCACAAATTCTTAGATGTAAAAACAGCCTTGAGTAGAATATTTCCTTCGATATCCACTGTATTTTCTCATTCTCACACTCCCATCAGTAGGTTGGAATATGTAGCTCAAGAAAAAAATATATATACAAAAAAGATGTAGTGCACTTCCAGAGTATAGTAAGAAAGAATTTTAATAACTTACATATAGGTATAAAACAATTCACATGTCACCATTGGGGCGTCCTACGTGTTTCGTCTGAATTTGGACTTCCTCAGGGACTTGGTGAGACAAAAACAGCAAAAATATAATATAAAAAGCTTTTCCCTCCCACAGTTCTTTTATATCCCCCCTAGAGTTCATTATTAAATGATCCACCCATCGGCATACTGTGCAGACAGCACCCTAATGATGCACTAGCTTTACGCTTACTAAGGACTGTCCCCTAGCACTTGCTGGTCCACTCCTCTCCTATTACTAGCAGGTACAAGCTCATGTTATCCAATCTGGGACAGAGAAAAAGTGTGTGTATTAAGTGTAGACTGAGGAGGCAAGAGCATTTGCAAAGCGTGCAAAGTCACCTTTACATTAACTAATTTCAATGTCAGACAGTCCACACCAATTCTGTTCCCCTACATCCCTCTTAAGTTTCCATACTTAAGCAAAAGCATGCATGTAAAGAGTAGTAAAAAAAATGTTTTTTTTTTCTTTTTTAAATCAATGGACCTATTCCATAGGCATGGGCCTGGAGCTGCAGCTCCATCAGCCCCTATGTTAATCTGGCCTTGACTCAGATACTTTCTCCATAGCCTGGGGCTCGCTGAGATGCCTGTTTCCTCACTATATTGTTTTCTGTAGAGATATGTGTGTGTGTCACATTGCAACTTGAAACATCTATGTAACCCCAGCCACTCTGTGTGCCTCTTTGTCCCCCAACCCATTTGTATGTCTTTTTGTCCCCCCAGCCCTCTGCCTTTATTTCACCCCACAGCACTTCTCTGCATCTGTCCCCCACTGCCAACTGTATGTCTTTGTCAGCCCCAGCCTCGTGTGTATCTATGTCCCCCCAACCCATCTGTGTGACTTTATGTACCTTTGTTTAGCATGTCTATGTGGACTGTGGGTAGAGGATATTGTGCTCAATTAGCATTTCCTTACAGATTGGGTAGAGGATACAGAAGATCATCTACCTACGGTCCACACATCCATTCTACATACAGTGACAGGCAGTAGGGGAGCGGACCCTTAGGTGCACTGAAAGTACCATGCAACCAGGGCCAACCCAAGACATTGTGCTACCTGGGTCCAAGACTTAGAGGCTGCCACCCCATAGTCATGCACACACCCACAAGCACATTGATGTGGTCACACATATTCACATTCACAGACACACACACTCGCAGACAGGGGCAGTTCAAGCATTTTTGGCACCCTAGGCAAAAATACATTTTGCTGCCCCTGTCCCCAGTCCATCTGCTTATCCTTACCTTGCTTCACTCCACCGCTTCTACTCCTCTTCACACCATGTTCTCTGCACCTTTTCACTCTTACTGCCTCTTTCCACAGCACTAGATCCCATAGCATGTCCCACTACACTAGAAATTGCACCAGACTGTTCTATACTTTCATGTATCTTAATCTTACTCCACCTTCCTTCCGTGTCTCTTGCTCCCCTTCCTTGACTCTCACTCTCTCTTCCTTTCATGTCTCTCATCCCCTCTTCCTTTCAGCTCTCTCATCCCATCTTCATTTAATATCATTCACTCCCCACTTCCTTCTACATCTCCCCCCCCTTCCTTCCATGTCTCTCTCTCCCTCTTCCTTCCATTTCTCTCTCCCCCTTCCTTCCATGTCTCTCACCCCATCT